TATCACTCACGCTGAGCCGATACTCTACCATTGAGCTACACTCCCCAGGTCAAATTTATCATTTTAAACTACAATTCAACTGGACATGATGGCTACACAAGAGGCTGAGACAGGAGGTCTGAAAGTTAGAGGCCAGCCTCAGCAACTAAGCAAGACCCTGTCTCTGAAAAAAATAAAAAGGTAAAAAAAAAGGGCTGTAGCTCAGTGGTAGAGAGCTTGCCTAGCATGTGAGCGGCACTGGGTTCAATTCACAGCAGCACATATAAATAAGTAAAATAAAGGTCCATCGACAACCAGGAAAAAAATATTAAAAAAAAAAAAAAGGTCTGGGAATGTAGCTTAATTGAATCTTTCCCTAGGTTCAATCCCCAGTACCACACAATAAATAAATAAATAATGTATGACTCAGTGGGATTAAATACATTTACATTATTGTGCAATCAAGGTTCATTCACATTGTGACATGGTTCAGAGATTCATTATTTTTTATGACTGAGTAATATTCCATTGTTTAGATCTAAGCTTTATTTTCATTTTTTGACAGTGCTGGGGATAGAATCTAGGGCCTCCCATGTGCTAAGCAAATGCTCCACCACTGAGCTACACCTAGTCTTGGATCTAAGTTTTTAAAGATTAGAGTTCTTCTGTCAAGGGCACCCATTTGCCCCTTCCCTAAGCATAAATATTTCTGTGCTAGCAACATTCATAGTATTTGCTATATAGATGCTGACTGGTTAAAGGTAAATGAAGAATGAACGGTACAGTTTGGCTAGAGCAACTCTGAGGTGTGATACATCCAGGCTCTGACCATGCCAGGTCTCTATCAGCTGCACGACCAACTAGTCTCCCCCTCCTCTCTGAGCCTTGCTTCCTCTCTATAAATGTGCAAAACAGATTTATAGCCCAAACTGCTTTTCTAGCATGAGCCGCCATGAGTTAGGCTGACCAAGATTCAAATTCCAACTCTGTCCTTCCTCTCTGTGTGACCTTGGGAAGCAACTTTACCTCCCTGGGGCTCAGTTTCCCCACCTGTAAAATGGGGCACGTCCCATCACGGGGTTTGGCTGGGGTCACATGAGGGGGGTCCTGAGGCAAAAAGAATGGGGGGAAGTCAGGTGCAGTCTTCCCCCAGGTGGGGTGAGTGTTAGAAAATGCATGGGGGATTTTAAGCACAGGGAGCCCCCACACTCGTGCAGCTGGAGGCCACCGGCTGGCGGTGGCGCATGCGCAGAGCAGCCTCGCGGCCCCTTTATAAGCGCTGAGGCGGCGCTGGGGCGAGCGGAGCGCAGGGCGCAGGGGCTGGATCGAGCGCTGGGCGAGCTGAGCTGGAGCGTCCTTTGTGCCGGGCGACCGCCCCGGGATGCGTCCGAGCTAGGAGCCAGGTGTGGGGGTGTTCGTCGTCTTGGGGAGCGGGCCGCGTTCGTGGAAAGACCTCAGGATTGGAGACAGAGCCGGGTTTTGGGGAGGGGGCCTGGGACCAGGGAGAAGCCCCCAGATTGGGGAGGGGGGCGGATGGGGGAGGGGACCCCTGGGGTGGAGAGGAAGCGCTGGTTAGAAGGGGACCCAGGGGTGTCCAGGGGCTCTGCCTGGGGGGAAGGTTGCCGGGGAATGCGGAGACAATCCCGCGGTGGGGAGGGGTCCGGGGCTGGGGGTGGGTCTCAGGATTAGGGAGGAGGCGCTGGGAACCAGGGCTAGGGGAGGGGCACCCCGAGTTTGGAGAGAAGAGACGCCCAGTGACTGAATGGGGGACTCCGGAACAGGCACCCCTGCGTCTGAGCTGACACCCCAGGATTTTAAGTGGGGATTCCCAATTTCCAGATGAATGGAGGATTCCGGGTTGGACTGCAGTAGTGTGGGTCCCCCACCCCCCCAGGTCAGCCTGAGTCCGTTGGAAGGGGATCTTGCCCTGAGAGTGAATGGACACTGGGAAAGGGAGCCAGTCGTGTCCCTGTCATTTTGGGTTAGGTTCTGTCACATCCTGACTCAGAGAGGAGGTTCTGGGGTGCCCCATCCCAAGGTGGCCCCTGTTTTCCCACGGATCTGGAGTTGGGGTGTTGTCCTTTCTCCCAGGGAGGGTAGTTCTCTGAGTGTCCCAAATGAATGCTGGGTGGAGGGCAAGAGCTCCCAGTTCTGGATCCCCGGGACTACCAGGGCACTAACCCCAAGACAGGGACTGTCCCCAGCACTTCAGCATCTGTCCGAATCCTCACAGAGGGACAGACCGTTGTCTCGCCCCCTTCGGTTCATACCAATGCCTGTGGAAACCCTGCTTTGGTTTGGGGGACATAAGCGCTGGCAAGTAGGGGGCTGGGACCCCAGGCCAGCCTGACTGGGAGTGACCCCCATCCTTCCGCTTTGTTCCTTTCAGCGGCATCAGTGGGAAACAGCCAGGCTGAGCAGAGGCTTGGCACTGGGCCCAAGCCAGGGACACGGAGATGGGGCCGGGAGAGAGGGGTGGATGCACTGTGGGACCCCCAAACCCAGGAGCCTCAGTGGCCCCTGGACATTCCCAAATGGAAGGTCCCCCACCGCAGGAGGTGGTGGCTTTGTGTGTGTGTCTGCTCTAGGCAATGAGGAGGGGGTGTGCCCCAGGGGTCTAGGGTCCCCAAGAATCTGATAGGACTGTGGTGGGTGTCTTTGTCAGGAAACTTGTGCCGGGGGGCCACATCACCAGGTGGCCAACTGATGTGTGCCCACAGTCACCAAGGCCACATTAATCCACCCTGGTCTTTGCCAGGGTCTGGTATGGCAGCGTGTGTGATGGGGAACGTGTCTGATGGTGTTCGATTCATTGAGGGGTCTCCGTGGGGGGCTGAGACTGAGGGCTGAGTCTTTGTGTGGAAGACGTGCCGCCCGCCTTGTGAGTGCCCATATTGCCTCTCTTTGTTAATGTCACTGTGAATCTGTGCGTGTGTGTCTCCCAGGGTCTGTGTCTGGGATGTGTGACTGCATGTGTGTGGCAGGGGTCCTCTCCATGTGATTGGCAGTGTGGACCCTGAGAATGGGGGGTGTGGGATGAGATCTGTGTGCAGAGTTGGGGAGCTGACCCTGGGAGAGGGTAGGCAGAGGTTGAGGTCCCCTAGGGACAGCCCTGGATGCCTGGCTATCTTTCTCCTGCAAGGAGTTTCTTATTCAAACCCCTGTGTGTAAATACACCCAGTTCTTAGGCCAGCAACACACGCGTGTGTGCATTGCCCCTGCTGAGGGGCACTCGGATCCACACATCCAGAAATGACACTGGGTCCTCTCCATCCACCTAGTGCATGAGGCTGCTGGGGCTCCCACACAGGATGTCCACACCCCACAGGGTGAATCTGCATGTACACCCTTGCCTGGCACCCTATATGTACACTTGGTCACCCACAGAAACGCCTGCTAACAAACTCACCCTCACTCGGTGCTCAGCAAGACTGGAGGTGGGAGTGAGAGAGGGGAGACACACACTCTCATACTGATCCAGACTACCCCTCCCCCAGCGCCCTGCAGGCCCCTACTTGCATATGCATGAGGCTCATGCATCATTCATGAGGGGACGGGCCCCAGACAGCTGTGTAAATGCTCACCTCTGGTGGCCCTGGGGAGGAGGTATTTTAAGAGAAGGGTGTGGGTGTGAGGGTGTAAGTGGAAGGCAGTGGGAGGGTGAGGAGGGCAATGTGCACCTGAAACTGTCACCATATTGGATCACCTCAGGATATTTTTAGTGTGTACATGAGGCTTTGTGTACAAGGAACTGTCTTTAAATTTAACATGTCCAGGACTTTACAATCTTAGCTCATTTCCTCCTCAAGATAGCCTGATGAGGTGTGTGCTGGATGATCCTTATTTTAAAGATGGAGAAACTGAGGCACAGAGAGATGGAGCAACTTGTCCAAGATCCCACAGCACAGTGTGTAAGGAATTAAGACAGGGTTTGAAGTGAGGTCATTTGGATGTAATCTGAGCTCTGAACCATATGATGTGTATGCGTGCATCTGCACGTGTGTGTGTTTGTGTGTGTGAGAGAAAGAGGGTACTTTCTGGCTTTGTCCCCACCCCACCCCCATCCCTGCTGAGGCAGGCACAACCATTGGGATATCCCATGCTTGCTTAGGGGTTCCAAGCGGGAGAAATGAGGGCAGCTTGGGATGGAGGCAGAGGTTGCTGAGGTTTAGAGATTGGTAGTTGTGGTCACTGGCCCAGGGCCTTGGCCTTGACATGTGCTATGCTGTGTATTCTGAAGCAAACTGCTAGCCCTCTCTGGGCCCCGAGGCACCATGTGAGTAGGCTGGAGGCAGGGACCCACGTGGTGGGCAGTGCTGCTGCATTATCACCTCAGAGTTCAGCACCACGGACAGGTCCCTCACCAGCTCCCAGCAGGGGCCTCTGGGAACTGGGAAGGAGAGCTGAGAAGAACAGCTGGTCCCCCCATGGCCTCTCATTCTAGACTCTACCCACAACTAGGTCTCAGGGCTATTCTTTTATAGGGGTGTGGTTTGCATGTGACATTCTAATTTTCCATCTGCTCCCACCTTCTCCAGCCCCACTGAAGGGTGGGGTTCCAGTGGGGTGGGAGGCTTTGGGGAGGGGCCACCTCCCTGGGAGAATGTACCATCTGAAAGGACCCAGCTGTGTCCAGCACCTGGAATGGACTTTGATGACAGTAGATTTTGAGTAATGGCTCAGGCCTCTGGACCACAGCCCTTACAGAGAGCTGGGCCCACACTGCAATTTCTCTGCAAGCCGCAGAAGCTTCTTCACCAGACTGTGTGAAGTCAGGGGGAGGCTGGGGTGGGCAGGGGTGAGGCCCCTTCCTCCAGCTGGGACTTGGCAGCTCCTCAAATATCCCAGAAACCAAGAATAGACTCTTGGTGACAACCAAATCCTGGAATTGAAGCTGAGAATCGTGTCAGTCAGCAAACCCAGATTAAAGGCTGGCTTGGAGGCTCGCCTGCTGCCTGGTCAGGGGACCTGGGAGGACCAGGACTGGCTGCTGCCCTCTAGGAGCTCCCAGTCTGATAGAGGAGGTTGACTTTAAAAATAGGACTTCATTTTTTGCCCATGTTATTCTCAATAATATTAGCAACAGCTAAAATGTACTCCTTCGTGCCAGGCAGATTCCAAGCATTTTATATATATTGACTCACTATTCCTTCCAACCATCTGATGTTATCCCCATCTGACCCACAAAAAGAGAGAAAGTACAGAAAAGTTAAGCTACTTGCCCAAGGTCACACAGCAAGGAACAGACAGACGGTCAACCCCCTGGTCTGATTCACTCCACCACCCATGTTTCTGGCCATGAGGCTTTGGTGCTAGGATTCTGAGGCCTAGTGGCCCTGGGTTTGAATCCTGGCTCAGCTCTTGTTTGCTCACTCTGTGACCTTGAGTGACACACTGGCCTCTCTGGGCTCCAGTTCCTGATCTGTAGAGGAGGGGGGATTTGCTCCTTCCATGTGGCATGTCTGGGAGGACAGTGCTGTGACTCATCCATCCCTCCCTTCCTCTGCATTTCCTTCTAGGTTCAGGATGGGGGCCACATCTGTCTGGGTCTCAGGCCTCCTGATGCTGCAGATGCTGCTGTTTGTGACCGGGAATCAGGGTGAGTTGACTTGTGGGGAGAGAATCTTTTCACTTTGCAGCCACAGCCAGGGATCTGGGGGATTGATGAGATGGGGCTGTTACATTCCAGAGCCTTCTCCTGCTGGCCCTCTGGCTTGATCTGAAGAATAAAACAAGAATAGATGAAAAAAGGTCTTTGAACAGTCAAAAGAGAACAAGTTACCTGAGAGGCTATTTTTAGTCATTACCAGCAGAAGCTGGAGGTTCCCGCCTCTCACCGTTTTGCTGAAATGAACTGAAAAGAGAGAAAGAACAGCATTGCGAATCGTGCAGAGATTGATTGGTGATGTCTGCCATAAGAGGGCCATGGAGATAAAGGTGTGTGTGCTTCTCTTGGCATCTCCCCAAAGGTGACCAAGAGCCCAGGCTTTAGAAATCCATCAGTGATCTGCTCAGTGGCCTTAGGCAAATATATGATCTTTGAGTTTTAATTTCCTCCACTCTCCAAAAAGAAGACCAGACATCACACTCTCTAAAGATGATTATGAAAATGAAGCTGGGCGTGGTGGTGCACACCCATAATCCCAGCAGCTCAGGAGGCTGAGGCAGGAGGATCGTGAGTTCAAAGCCAGCCTCAGCAACTCAGGGAGACCCTGTCTCTAAATGAAAGACAAAAAAGGGCTGAGGATGTGGCTCCGTGGTTAAGTGCACCTGGGTTTAATCCCAGTACAAAAAAAAAAAGAATAGAAAAAAGAAAAAGAAAATCAATAAGCTAATTCCTATAAAGTGCCTGTTATAATGGCACTCCACAAATGTCCTTTTCCTTCTAATGACTTCCTCTTGCTTAACTTTTTTTTATATACTTTTATTTATTTGTTCATTTATTTATTATTATTTTTTTTATGTAGTGCCTGGGAATCAAACCCAGTGCCTCGTGCATGCTAGGCAAGCACTCTACCACTGAGCCACAACCCCGGCCCCTTGCTTAACTTTTGAGAAAAACAAGTCTCAGAGAAGGAAAGTGACTTTCCCATGGCCACATAATCAGTGATACTGGAAGTCAAATCCCCATCCCTTGGCTGGGGCTGGGGCTCACTGGTAGAGTGCTTACCTAGCACATGCGAGGCACTGGGTTCGATCCTAGCACCACATAAAATAAATTAAAAAAAACAAAATAAAGGAATTGTGTACAAAAAGCTAAAAGAAAAAAATCCCCATAAGAAGAGGCCTCTAGAATTCATTTGTTTGTTTTTGCTGTACTCGGTCGGTACTGAACCCAGGGCCTGGCATCTGGCCTGCGAGTGCCCTGCCCCTGAGCTGCACCCCCCACCCTGGAGTCTACATTTCAGTGGGACAGAACCGCAAGGGGATTGAACCCTCCCTCTCCCCTTCTGCCCACCAAACCTCACGGAGCGGGCCCCCATGTGCGCTGTGACACTGTGTGGCCACCCTAGGCTCTCTGTAAAGGAGGGGAGTGGTGGTGCCCTGCTGGTCCTGGCCCCTGAGGCATGCCCTCTCTCTGCCTTCTCCATCCCAGGCACACAGGAGGCCACCGCTGCTGCCGTTGAGAAAGGGCTCCACATGCAGAAGGTGGGGTCTGGGTCGGTGCGGGCTGTGCTGGCAGAGCTGGTGGCCCTGCCCTGTCTCTTTACCCTGCAGCCACGGCCCGGTGCAGCCCGAGACATCCCTCGGATCAAGTGGACCAAGGTGCGGACGGCATCGGGCCAGCGACAGGACTTGCCCATCTTGGTGGCCAAGGACAACGTGGTGCGAGTGGCCAAGGGATGGCAGGGCCGAGTGTCACTGCCCTCCTATCCCCGGCGCCGAGCCAATGCCACGCTGCTCCTGGGGCCACTGAGGGCCAGCGACTCCGGGCTCTACCGCTGCCAGGTGGTGAGGGGCATCGAGGATGAGCAGGACCTGGTGCCCCTGGAGGTGACGGGTCAGTTGGGGGCAGGGGAGGGACTGAGGTCGGGAGGGGCAGAACCTGAAGCCTGCCACTGAGAGTCACCTTAGAAATCACTCCCTGTGTAGGGAGGGCTTCCCTTTCAACTGTGATAGCATCATGAAGGAGGGCTCCATAGGTCCTACCTTGATCTTTTTTTCGAGGGGCCAGGGGGTTAACAGGGATTGAACTGAGCCACATCCCCAGCCCTATTTTGTATTTTGTTTATTTATTATATTCTAAATTTTTAAATTCCAATTTGTTATATATAACAGCAGAATGCATTATAATTCATATTACACATATAGAGCACAATTTTCCCACCTCTGCTTGTATACAAAGTATATTCACACCACTCGTGTCTTCATGCGTGTACCGAGGGTAATGATGTCCATCTCATTCCACCCAGTAGTTTATTTATTCAGAGACACGGTCTCATTCAGTTGCTTAGTGCCTCACTTTTTGATGAGGCTGGCTTTGAACTCGTGATCCCCCTGCCTCAGCCTCCCAAGCTGCTGGGACTACAAGCTTGCGTGCGCCACTGTACCCAGCCCTATCTTGTCTCTAACACCTCTGTCTCTTAGCCAAGAGGGAGCAGCCACACTGTCAATCACCAGTGGGTTACACTATCTGGGCAAGGATGTCCTCATCCTACTTTTTTTTTTTTTTTCTGGTACAAGGGATTGAACCCAGGGACATTTTATCACTGAGCCACATCCCAGGCCCATTTTCATTTTTATTTTGAGACAGGGCCTCACTAAGTTGTCTAGGGACTCACTAAATTGCTGAGGCTGGCCTTGAACTTGTAGTCTTTGCACTTGCAGTCCTCCTGCCCCAGCCTCCCTGGAATTACAGGCAAGTGTCACCATGCCTGGCCGAATCCAGCTTTTGTTTTAAGTCCCTTTAGTCTCTTTTATTGTTATCCAATTTTACATAAGACAAAGGATATTGGTTTTCTATTTTAAAATCAAATACAGGGGCTGGGGATATAGCTCCATTGGTAGAGTGCTTGCCTCCCGTGCACAAGGCCCTGGATTCAATCCCCAGTATTACAAATAATAATAATAATAATAATAATATACAAATTAAAAAAAATAAGTTTGTTTAAATTTTTTAAAAATCAGATTATTCTTAAAAAGTAAGTCAATAAAAATATATATATTAAGTAAATAACTGTTCAAAAATACCTGTTTAAACAATTCCTTTATTAAATTCTTTCTGTTGAAATATCCAGTGTAGTTTCTGTTTTCCTAACTGATTAAGGAGGGGAAAAGATGAATGATTAAGGCAAAGTCTAGAACAGGGCCTGGTGTAATATAGTACATGCTCAAGAAATGTTTTAAGTGTGACTCGATGAATGGATTATTAAACAAGGAACCACCAGTTGAGGCAGGTGCTGTGGTGCACACCTATAATCCCAGCTGCTCAAGAAGCTGAGGCAGGAGGATCAAAAGTTTTTTGGCCAGCCTCAGCTACTTAGCAAGATGCCTGTCTCAAAATTAAAAAATATAAAGGGGCTGAGGAAGTAGGTTGGTGGTAGAGCACCCTTGGGTTCAATCCCCAATGCCAGAGTTGGGGGGACATAGAAAGAAAAAAAAAACAATTTGTTGACTCCTACCAAGAAATCTATTTCCCTTATCTTACATTGACCTTGGACAAGTAAGTCCCTGAATCCCCTGTCCTGGGGCTTAGTCTGCCCCACAAACTGAAATCAGGACACAGTGTCTTGCCATATATTTTTTCCTTGCTTTATTCTTAGTTTTGAATCACACATATTTATACATTGTGTTTTGTACATATTTATACATTGTATTTTGTACATATTTATACATTATATTTTGATCAAATCAGGGTAACTCTCCCATCCATCATCTTGAGCATTTATCATTTCTCGTGGTGAGAATATTCAAAATCCTCTCTGCTATTTTGAATATACAATGCATTATTGCTCGCTGAAGCCACCCTACTGTGTAATGACTGAATATGTTATAGGGTCTACCAATCACTCCTTTCACAGACCCACTTCTCAAAACTGATAAACCTTGGGGGGGAGCCCACTAATTAGTGGAGAAGCAAATGAATTGTACCTCTGGGTTTGTTGGGTTTCATTCATTTAGCCAAACTTTTATTGAGCACCTACTTGCCAACCTATGCTGATGTCACAGCTCCCTCTAGGAGGTCTCAGTCTGTTAAGATGGGGCAAAATGTTCAGTGTCTTCACTCAGCCACATTTCTTTCATCTCTAAATCAGAATTTGAGTTCCACAGATCCTGTTATTGGTGCTTCACTTCCTGATTTACTTGTCACCTCCTCCAGGAAGACTTCCATGACCCATTCCCAGGCAGGGCAAGAAGAATCACACTTGGCCTATACTTCTTCTATTAGCATATGTACAAACATCTCTCTTCACCTCCTCAGTGCCTCCTGCCATCTCCAGGGCCTAACCCCAGGCATGAAGAATGCTATCTTTGGAGTCAGATCTTCCTGGTTTGAATTTTGGTTCTGCCTCATACTTGCCATGAAGGCCAGGGCATGGAAATTTTTTTGAGCCTTAGTTTCTTCTTCTGGAATAATCCTAGGATTGTTGTTGAGAGTTCAGTGAGGTGTTGTTTACAAAAGCTTTTCACCCAGAAGACAGTTGACAAGTTTGAGCCCTTTCTGGTCATTGTTATCCGTTTCCTAATCTGTAAAATGGAGTCAGCCGTCTGACTCTCCACCATCACCCTAGCTCTGTGCCAGGCACTGAGTAAGTGGCTGTGATACCAGGCACTGGAGGTGCTGCAGGTTTGTTCATTCCAGCTGGGGGTGGGGGGCGAGTGTCATTCTGCAAAAGGGAGGTGTGTTCTTGAAGATTCTGGCATAAGTCTCCCCCAGCCCATCCTGGCTGTTCCCCGCAGGTGTTGTGTTCCACTACCGGGCAGCCCAGGATCGTTATGCGCTGACCTTCGCTGCAGCCCAGGAGGCCTGCCGTCTCAGCTCGGCCACCATTGCAGCCCCTCGGCACCTGCAGGCTGCCTTCGAAGATGGCTTTGACAACTGTGATGCTGGCTGGCTCTCTGACCGCACTGTTCGGTGAGGGGGTACAGAGGGTGGGGAGATGGAGAGCTAGCCCCTGGAGAAAGAGGCTCTTGGGGCGCTCCCGGAACACACATCTGAGAAGGGATCCCTACTCTTGGTGTTGTCAGGTATCCCATCACCCAGTCCCGTCCCGGTTGCTATGGGGACCGTAGCAGCCTTCCAGGAGTTAGGAGTTACGGGAGGCGAGACCCACAGGAACTCTATGATGTGTACTGCTTCGCCCGGGAGCTGGGAGGTAAGCCTGGGAGTGGGAGGGCCCTACCCGCACCTCTTCCTGAATCTGTTTCTCTCCCAAATCCCCATCTCTCCCTAAGTCGGGATGTAGCTCTCAAAACCTGCACCAAGACCTGGACTATTCTAGAACTTTCCATCCCTCCTTGAGCCCCTCTCCCTCTCAGCCACTCTCTCTCTCTCTCTGATCCTCTGAGTGCTTGTCCCTTTCCCTTTCTCTGAAACCCCCTCACTGAGTTCCTCCCTCTCCTTGAAGCCCATTTTGCTCAAGGACGAGATTACATCATTTGTAAAAAGAATCTAAAGCTTTCTCTGGTTAGTACCAAACTCACCAGGAAGAGCCGCGATTGTGCCCCCTTGGCTTAACCACCACCCAGACCCGGCCAGGACGGGATACCTGGATGGGGACCTCCTTCCCGGACTCAGGGAAAGGTCCCCCTGACCTCAGTCCGCCCCCCCCACAGGCGAGGTCTTCTACGTGGGCCCCGCCCGCCGCCTGACGCTGGCCGGCGCGCGCGCCCAGTGCCGTCGCCAGGGCGCAGCGCTGGCTTCGGTGGGACAGCTGCACCTGGCCTGGCACGAGGGTCTGGACCAGTGCGACCCAGGCTGGCTGGCCGACGGCAGCGTGCGCTACCCCATCCAGACGCCGCGACGGCGCTGCGGGGGACCCACCCCCGGCGTGCGCACCGTCTACCGCTTCGCCAATCGCACCGGCTTCCCGGCGCCGGCTGCGCGCTTTGACGCCTACTGTTTCCGAGGTGCGTGCGAGGCCCCGCCCACGGGACACGCCCCAGTGTGTCCCCAGTGGCCAGGCACCGGAGGGTGTGTACTTGGTGAAGGCCACACCCCTAACAGCTTCACTGGGTTGCGGAGGCCGCGTGCTGGGGATAAGCCACGCCCCGGCCGACGGCCACGCCCCCCGAGACAGGTTTCTCTTTGGGAACTTGGCTGTCCTGGAAGGACATGTCCCTTAAGAGAACCTACCTCTAGGAGAGGAGTCACATTTTCCCCAAAGGGTTATATATATTTTCTTAAGTCCGGAGGCGCAATACCCCTATAAAACACGCTCCTGGGTGGAGCACATCCCACCTGGAGCCACACCCATGGGTACAAACCGTGGCGTTAGGGGTGATGCCTTGATTAGCCGGCTGCTCGCCCTAGGGAGTGTCGCAGCAGGGGCGGATGACACCTGCCACAGCCTCAGAAGGTGCAAACTTTAATCCCCAGAGACCAAGTCCTTTGTGTAAGCTGGTCACCAGTCCTAGATGGAAAAATAGTACCCTTGTTGGGAGGGTCACACCCACTGGACACCTCCCATCCCCAAAGAAAGATCCTTAGTTGAATCACTTCCCAGGCTTATAAGATCTCAGGAAGCTGGACATTGCCTGAGCTTCTCCCATGAGCCAAACTGTCTACTGAATCCTCCTTGTGACCAGTAGACCCTGACCTTGACAGTGGGTTGGGTCTGGCCCAGCCTGAATGGTGGAGGTGATAACTTTATGCCTCCCTCTATCACGCTGGAGAAGCTCAGAAACCACCCAGAGCTGCACAGATGGTCTGTGTCAAAGCATGTGGGAATGTGGGTAGAATTCAAGCAGAACTTCCCTGGCAGCTCCTGGGCCTAGCATATGTATTCTTTTTTCTCCCATAGCTCATCATCCCACTCCACAACATGGAGACCCAGAGACCCCCTCATCTGGGGATGAGGGGGAGATTCTGTCAGCAGAGGGGCCTCCAGCCGGAGAGCTGGAGCCCAAACTGGGGGAGGAAGAGGAGGGGGTCCCTCCTGACTTTCAAGAGCCTCTGGTGTCCAGTGGGGAAGAAGAAGAGCCCCTATTCTTGGCAGAGAATCAGAAGTCTCAAGAGACCCCCAGCTCCACCCCGGGTGACTCGGCACTGGCCTCATGGCCCACCGAGGCAGTGTGGCCAAGCACTGTGGCTCCCAGCCCCAGCAGAATGGGGGCAGCCACTGCAGAGGCTTTCCACACGGAGGTGGCCTCGACAGTCCCCACACCCAAGAGGAGAGGGCGTTTCAAAGGGCTGAATGGACGCCACTTCCAGCAGCAGGAACCAGAGCGAGGGCTGGAGGGGGAGCTCAAGGACGGTGCCCAGCCCTTCACCCCAGCTGGGAATCATGTGGAGCCACCTTTGGTCACAGAAGCCTCGGGAAGTGGCCAGAGCCAGACTCCTTGGGCCATTCTGACCAACGAGGTGGACATGCCTGGAGCAGGTGAGTCTGGGGGTGGGGTGGGAGCTGGGACTTGGTTGGGTACCTGAAGGCCGGGAGGGTGGACCTATCCTCAGGACAGGGGAAGATGGCCTGAGTCCCAGATGGGTCCCCTGACCTCTCCCAGTCTCAGGAGTCCCTAGTAGACCAGGGTCAGGGACATGCTCCTCAGCTGATGAGTCATAGTCACTCTTGCTCTTTTGCAGGTTCCTTTGGTGGCAGGAGCCCCCCAGAGCCCTGGTTGTGGCCCCCAACTGTGATCCAACCCAGCATCCCAGGCCCCAGCGGGACCCCTGACCTGAAGCGAGAGGGAGCCAAGGCCCCCAGCATGAAGCCAGCCACCTCCGCCCTGTCATGGTCTCCCTCGGAGCCCACTGTCCCAACCTCCAGCCCCTCAGAAGGCTCCCCCGCGGCCCATTGGGAGGCATCCCCCACAGCCACCTCCCCAGACCTCCCTGTCATGGCCATGCTGCGTGCCCCCAACCTGTGGCTCGTGTCACACTCTACTCCTGTGTCCTCTGAAGCCACTGAGGTCAAGCGCCATGGTGAGGCCATGACCACTGCCCCACCCTCTGCAGCCTCAGAGACCAAAGTGTATTCCCTGCCCCCCTCTTTGAGCCCAACAGGTCAGGGTGGAGAGGCCACAGCCATGACGCTCAGCGGCCACGGAGAAGGAAGTCCCATTGCCCCCTCGACGGCAGCTGTGGTCACACAAGCTGGAGCCAGCCCTGAGTCCCCCGGGACAGACTTTGGAGACATGGAAGCGATCAGCCTCCCTGAGCTCAGCCAAGCTGAGTACCCCGGGTCCAGCCCCTGGGCATCTGTGGACAGGAATGTGACGGTGGATTTCGTCACCGAGACGGCCGGTGAGCCCACAGATGTCAGAGGTATCTCAGGATCTGAAGCTGGGGTCTTCATCAACACTGCAGAAAGCCCCACGTCCAGCTTGCACACCTCCGGTCATGAGGTGCTGGGCTCCTGGCCCTCTCCGCCGGACACCAGCTCCCCATCCGCACCTTCAGCGGGCCGTGGCATCTTCTCCGTGTCTGAAGTCATCCCTGGTTTGGAGCCTTGGGCAGCTGCAAGTGGAAGAGCCACTGGAGGTCCCCGAGATTCCACAGTCACGCGGGCCCCCAGTGGAGGAATTTGGGAGTCTGGATCCCACGTGGTTGAAGGAGCTGAAAGCCCCACCTTGAGCCCTTTGGTGGCCGTGGATACCAGCACAGCAACGTCCCTTACATCCCCGGACCAGGGAGCCAAGGCTGGGGTCCTGGATATGTCCACACTGTCCTCCTCAAGTTCCCAGCCCTCCCCAGAGCCAGAGGACCAGATGGTGGACCAGGGAATGGTGGGGACTTCAGCTCCTCCGCCTCAGGGCAGTCCCCTCAGAGAGCCAGCCCTTCCCCCGGGGACAACCACTGTGGCCGGCCTGGAAGAAGCTGCTTCTGTTGCCTCGGGGGAACCTGCCTCGCCGTGGGACTCCCTGAGCACCCTGCTGCCCATCTCCCTGGGCACAGAGGAGGCTGATCTGCAGATCCTGGCGGGGAGCCCAGGTGTGGAGGGTTTCTGGGAGGAAGCAGCAAGCGGAGAAGAGCCAGCCCTGCCAGGGACCCCTGCAAGTGGGAGTGCTGAGGGGGGTAAGTCTCCAGTCCACGGATCCTTCCAGGCCAGGGTGGTCAGCGCTTGGTATCTAAGGACTGGAGGAGCCCAGAGCAAGAAGGGTGGGTTGTCCCTGGGGGTCTGGGAGGATGTCCCTGGGGGTCTGGGAGGATGTCCCTGGGGGTCTGGGAGCAGAGGATGATGTCAGACAGGAGCTCAGCAGGTGGAGAACTAAAGGTGGGAATGATGAAGCTTGGGGGAGATGTGACATGGGGCATGAGTTTAGTTTACAGTCCCTGCCGTGTTTACTTTGAGCTGGACAAAGCCGAGGACGCTGGTCCTCAAGGATTCCTCAAGTCTGGGGAAGACAGAGCTGGGCACAGGTGCCTCCCAGGTGGGGCCAGAGGATGGGGCATGGCAGGGAGGGCATACCGAGCAAATAGGAATTGGAGCTGGAATGGAGTAATGTGGATCGTGGGGGCCTTGAGTCACAGGACAGGTGTGGTGGCATCATCCCATTCAACACACGTGGCTTGTCACTACCTGGCCAATTAGTGGCCACACCTCAGCTGGAGCCCATGGCCACCCAAGTCTCAGCCTCTCTGCCCAGCAGAGCCCAGAGCAAGCCATTGACCTCTCCTCCCTGAAGCCACATTAGCCCCCGGCTGAGCCTACAAATTCTGGCCCCTTTTGAAAAATACTAAATACTGTCACATTGAGCTTCATTTGTATTTTTTCAATTAAGCTTTTTTTTTTTTTTTTTTTGGCCAAATGAGCTTTAAAAAAAAACAACCCAGGAGCTAATTAAAAAGCATTTTTTTTTCTTGAGTTGCAAGACATTGTTATTAACACAATTGTTTTTTAACTTCCTTCCCCTTTTTTTTTTGAAGGCAGTGTCTTGATGGAAATAGCAGATGCCCATGCTGTCACCTCTGGGCTGTGTCGGGGGTCAAATCCTCTCTCTCCTTAGATTTGCAGGAGACAGGCAGACTCAAGACATAAAGCTGATGCCTAACATTATCTTTCTGTGTTCTAAGCACCCAACTGGAATTATCTTGGTTAATCCTTACAATTTCCGTATGGACAAGTTCTAGTGTGATTCTCACTTTACAGATGAGGAGGCTGAGGCACAAGGAGGTCAAGAGATTTGTGTAGTTATTCAGCAAGGGAGTGGTTAGGCTGGACTTTGCATCCAGTCCATCTGAAAACAGGGTCTCTGTCTCAACTCCTAGGCTGTAAGATGCAATACCAAGTTCACTGAGATTAAAAAAAAAAAAAATCCATGAAGTCCTGGGGAGGCCATGAGCTTACCCAGCGAGGGAGCTGAGAAGGATAGGCTGGGGAGGTCTTTCTTTGAAGGTGGAAAAAGTCTCAATGCCAAGGGAGCTAGAGAGCTAGTCCTTAGAGAGGTAGAAAGCGGCCACATAGAGGTGCTAAGGAAATCGTGTTTGGAACTGATCTTGGACCTGGGGCTTGGGCTGCCTTGAACTTTGCTGGAATTTTGGCCCCAGACTAAAGCCAGCTGCAGTCAGGTGGAGGGAGGTGGGCAGTGCCAGGGGAGACCCAGGTGCCTTGCCACCTTCAGCTTGCAGCAGAGATGCTAATGAGGCCAAAAATAAATGCAGCATCAGTGATCGACTGAGTCACCGCCAGTCCGTGGGCAGGTGTCGGCGGCAGCACAGGGCACCTGGCGGGGCTCACGCGTTCTGCCACCCAGAAGCTCCACGCGTGTGCTCACACGTGCTGGGGCCACTCTAGGGCCATCATGCAACCCCAGGCTCTATCCTCCTTCCCTTTCCCTGGTCTTTGAGACCCATACCACCACCCCAGGAATAGGTCTCAGACATTGCAAGATGACCACCTGCTGCCTTCCTCCAGTTAGCTTCCAATTATTGTGTGCCTGCTGTGTTCTAAGCCCTAAGCGGAGACCAAATCCTCTGTCCCTTGAAAGCTGACATTCTAGAGCAACACTGTAGACCTTTCCCAAGGGTGGAAATGTTCTCTCGGTGTGCTGATTGGCATGTGGCTAATATAACTGAGGAATTGCATTTTTTACTTTCATTTCATTTTAATTAATTTAAGCATGAATGGCTCTATACGGCTGCCATATGGAGCAGCACTGCTCTAGGGAGAAAGATGCACAAGAAACAATCATCATAATAAAAGTGTACATTATATTAGAGACTAAAAAGTGATAAGGATAAAATAGAGGGCTGGGGATGTGGCTCAGCGGGAGAGCGCTCGCCTAGCATGTGTGAGGCCCTGGGCTCCATCCCCAGCACTTCAAATACACAAATAAGTACACTATTTAAAAAAAAAAAAAAAAAAAAAAGAGGAATAGTGGTCACTGCCACACACACCTGTAATCCCAGCAGCTCAGGAGGCTGAGGCAGGAGGAGTTGAAAGACAGCCTCAGTGAGTTGCTTAGCACCTAGGCCTTCCCAGCCTTCAGGGGAGGAGTGTCTGTAAGTTGGTGGAGACTGCCTACCAGGGAACCCTGGAGATGGAGAGGGGACCCTCCTACCTCCAGGGAAATCCAACTCCAGGGAAGTGATGGGGGAGGGCTATAGGGACACACTCATGGATGTCCCTTGGGTCCCCAGTCCCACTTGTGGGCAATGCTGAAACATCCCCTCAAGAGTCCCCAGACTGATATCAAAAGAGCTGGACTTGGCATTCGGATCAGGGCTGGCAGAAAGTTGTGAGCTACTGTTATTTCCATTTTATAGACGAGGCAACTGAAATCCAGAGAAGTGACTTGCTCAGGATTCCCTAGTGAGTGGCAGATTTAGACTCTGCAGGCTGTGGTGATAACCACTAGAATCCACCATCTCTCCACATTATAACCACTAAGGTGGCATCAAAAGAGGGTGAGCCAGGCTGGGTTTGTGGCTCAGCAGTAGAGCACTCGCCTCGCACGTGCGAGACCCTGGATTCGATCCTCAGTACCACATAAAAGTAAATAAGTGAAATAAAGGTATTGTGTCCAACAACAACTAAAAAATAAATAAATAAATAAATAAATATTTTAAACAGGGTGAGCCAACAGAAGGTAGGAGAGAATGCCTTCTTCTTCCTTGGTCCTGGGGATATAACCCAGAGCTTCTCACACGGTAGACAAGCGCTCTACCTCTGAGCTACATCTCCACCCATTTTTAAGTTTATTTTGAGACAAGGTCTCGCTAAGTTGCTAAGGCTGATGTTGAACTTGCCATCCTCCTGCCTCTGCCTCCTGAGTAGCTCGAGTTGCATGCGTGGGCCACTGCCCTCAGCTTCCTTCATTATTTCTGGTGCTACTCACACCCCATCTGGAAACTTATGTCTACTGTGGCCCATTTTGAGAAGCACAGTTATGAGCAGGGCATGTCCAAAAGAGGGGGACAAGTCCAGGAGGGCACTTAAACCCATGTTGTGGGAGACTTCCAAAGATAATCTCATGGAAGTGGTCACTGAGTGTCCCATGTGAGTTCCATCTGAGGGAATTTGCCACAGGTAGAGCAGCCCACAGATGCCCTTGGGGGGCAGTTCCTGAAAAGAGTAAGCTCTCCATCCCGGGGGTTTACAAGGCCAAGTTGGTGACTACCTGCTGGGGAGGTTACTGGGGGTACTCCACAGTTTGATGAGGAGGGCTTTAGGGACCTGAGGTCTGGAATTCCAGGAATTCTGTGACCTAGTGGCCCAGTCCCTCCTCACACTGCCCATCCATCCTGCACCTCCCTCAGATCCATGTGAAAACAACCCTTGCCTGCATGGGGGGACGTGTAACGCCAACGGCACCATGTATGGCTGTAGCTGTGACCAGGGATTCGCCGGGGAGAACTGTGAGATTGGTGAGTGCTTCAGGAGCAGCAGCTGAACCTGGATTTGTTTGACTCAGAGGCTGGGGGTCTGTCCCTGTGGCCACACCCTCGAGACTCACACAAAAAGAGATCACTTAAAAAAAAAAAAAAAGCCCCTTTCCATTCCCTACTCTCTGAATCCAGTTCATACAGCTGGGTCCTCATCCTGGGAGTGTGGTTCTGGCAGATTCCTCTGAGCAAAGGGCCCTTGGGGATCTTACCCTGTCCAGGGTGGGCAGGCATATAGGCACCACTACTGGAAACGTTAGATGTTATTCCCAAGTCCAACAAAGGAAATACTACAAATTATGAACATTTTTAAAACAATAAATGTAAATGATATAATTTCTTGAGCTCTATAACTCATCTCCTTAACTTCACATTACTACTAAGTATATAATCATAACAATAAATATCAATGGTACAATTTCTTAAACTGCTTCATTAGCTATTCATTTATAACACCCCTAAGAAGGTGCCATTATTTTTATTGCTCTGAAAAAAAGAGAAACAATCTCAGAGATGGGAAGTGACTTTCCCAGTGCCCTGTATGCCTCAAGCACTGTCTCTGCAGAGATTGGTAGAAGAGGAGGTCAAGTGAATATTTACTTCTACTGCAAATGGCTTTGTGATTCTGCAAGTCCTTGCAAATGTCTAAACTCTAGCTCCAGCTGAATTTCAGCTGGGCTTGAATGCAAGAGTATAACCTTTACTCTTCTGGGGTTAGAGGGAATGTTCTTCACATCTTGGCCTAATTCAGCTGACACAGTGGCATCTTCTCTCATAAATGCCAATTTACGTTAATTATGTGAGGCTCCACTCCCTAGGCTGCAGAGTGGAGACTCAGGCCTTCTGTGGAGACTCAGGCCTAGGATGGACAGCACAATTATGAATCCATCTTTTTCCTGGTTTGCTATGGGGGCTCTGAACCCAGGATATGTTGACTGTGATTGGTCCCCTCTCTCTCCCTGCCAGACATTGATGACTGCATCTGCAGCCCCTGTGAGAATGGAGGCACCTGTATCGATGAGGTCAATGGTTTTGTCTGCCTTTGCCTCCCCAGCTATGGGGGCAGCCTCTGCGAGAAAGGTGAGTTTGCACCAGTAAATATTTCCAGCAGTGGGGTTTGGTGCTTGGTCACAGGCTTCCCCCACATGCTTCAGGTCTCTGCCTCTGCTTCCATGGCTGAGTCCCACAGGTTGTTAATTGGTTTCCTGAGATGAAATTTGCATACTTTAGAATCAGACTTTTTTATTGATTTTTTAAAATAAATGACAGCGGAATGCATTACAATTCTTGTTAGAATCAGACATTTTTTTAAACATGTATTTTTTAGAAGTAGTTGGACACAATACCTTTATTTTATTTATTTTTATATGGTGCTGAGGATCAAACCCAGGGCTTCACGCATGCTAGATGAGTGCTCTACCGCTGAGCCACAATCCCAGCCCAGAATCATACATTTTAAAGTGTCTAATTCAGTGGGATTGATTACATTGACAGTGCTGTGCAATCATTATCTCTTCTAGTTCCAGAATCTTTTAATATCTCCAAAGGAAACCCTGTCCCTATTAGCAGTCATTCCTCATATCCTATCCCCAACTAATCTACTTTCTGTCTCTGTGATTTGCCTGTTCTGGACATTTCATGTAAAAGAAATCATACAATACATGTCTTTTTGTGTTTAGCTTCTGTAACTTACCATAATGTTTTCATTGTGACATAAATCAGCTATTCATTCCTTTTTTATCTGAATTTTAAGGTTTTATTCCATGTTTTTATTGACCTTTTTTAACTATACCTAATGGTGGGATTCATTGTTACTTGCCCACATTGTAACAATCTAATTTGGCCAATATAATTCCTCTTTGCCTTCCCTACTCCTCATTCCTATTTTTTAAAAATATTTTTCATTATAGATGGACACAATACCTTTATTTTATGTTTATTTTTTTATGTGGTGCTGAGGATCGAACCCAGTGCCCCACACATGCTAGGCAAGTGCTCTACCACTGAGCCACAACCCCAGCCCCTCTCCATTCCTTTTTAAGACTGAATAATACTCCATTTATGGACATACCACAATTTGTTTGTATGTTTCTTATTTGGTGGATACTTTGGTTGCTGCCTCCTTACAGCGAATGTGAATAATGATGCTGTGAACATGTGCAAGTTTTTGCTTGGATACCTATTTTCCATTCTTGGTTTTTCCCTTTCTTTGGGTATATGATCAGAAATGAAATTCCTGGGTCCTGTGGTAACTCTATATTTAACATTTGGATCTGCTAACTGTTTTCCACAGCAGCTGTGCTATTTTACATTCCTACCAGCAATGTATAAGGGATCCAGTTTCTCCACAGCCTTGCCAACATTTTCTTTTTCCTTTTTTTTTTTTTTGTATGATGTCAGCCTAATGGGTATGAAGTGGTATGCCATTGTGATTTTGATTTGCATTTCATAATGACTAATGATGCTGAGCATCTTTTCATGTGCTTGTGGGCCATTTGTTTATCTTTTTTGGAGAAATTCTGCTCAAGTCCTTCACCAGAAGGGCAATTTTAGGCCTTCCCAGGACCATTCCTGAGTCCACATGTTCACAGGGGGAGTGACCCTGACAATTAGAAAAAGAGATGTCAGCCTTGACCCCAGAAGGGGTGGGGGGTGCAATGATTTCTCAGTTGAATGTCTTCCAAAGAACCTTTTTGTGTATATGGAGCTGGGGATGGAACCCAGGGCCTCTGGCATGCTAGGCAAGCGCTCTACCACTGAGTCACTCCTGAGCCCAAAGAAAAATGACTATGAAAGTGGGGAGGTGAAAGGGTAAGGAGGGGCCTGTCCTGAAGGGTAAGGGATGATCTAGCCCCACAGGGACCTTAGGTTGGGCCCTATCTTGGTGTGAGGGGGCTGTGCTCATGGATGGTAGACCTTGGACCCAGGCCAGGTCCCCCTCACACTCCTTTCCCACCTCCTAGATACAGAAGGCTGTGACCGTGGATGGCACAAGTTCCAGGGCCACTGCTACCGCTATTTTGCCCATCGGCGGGCATGGGAGGATGCAGAGAGGGACTGCCGCCGGCGGGCTGGCCACTTGACCAGCGTCCACTCAGCTGAGGAGCACAGTTTCATTAACAGTAAGGACAATGGGAGAGGGATCCCCCACCATCATGATGAGCAGGGGGGGGGCACCTATCCCTTTGCCAGGGCATCCTCCCAGGGTCCCAAAGATCTCACTTCTCCAAAGCTGTGAGCATCAGTGCAAACCCAGAACACTCTTAATACGCACGCCTGCTGATTCATTTGTGGATTCATAACTCACTTTTGTCATTCGCCACGTATTCATGGAGCGTGCGCTATGTGCTGGGCACCCGTTCAGGCACTGCAGCCCAGCGTTGAGGGAGACACTATTCTGTCTTCAGGGAAGGATGCTCTTGGGGGGTGAGGTAGAGATGAACAAGAAAATATCTAATTAGATAAAATTATATAATTTCATACTTATTTAAGCACTCCATGTTTTATTTTAATATTCTACACTATTTATCATACTATAATTTAATGGGTCCTACAGATAAATATAACAGGGCCAAGTAATAGAGGACCGTGAGGGTGCATCTCTGATGAAATGAGGACCCATTTCTGCAGAGACCGAGAGAAGAGAGTTTTGCATTAATTAAGCTTGGCACTTATTGATTTATTCATTATCCCTTCTGCCATTTGTTCATCCATCCGTTCCTTCACGTTGTTTCTTCACATTTCCGCGCCTCCGGTCCGGGGTTGATTCTTACATTGCTCATTCTCTGGTCCGCCCCTCTCTCTTCCTCCCCGGCTTCCCTGTGCGCCAAGCTGCTCATCCACCGCGGCCCCGCCTTGCTCTTTCTCGCTGTCGGGGTCCAGCGCTGCCCCCAGGGTGGCTCCTATTCCTCACTCTCTCCCGGCAAAGACGGGACAGTGCTGTGTTTATTCCGCCTTCGACCTGCTTGTTTATGCCACAAATCGTGACAAAGCTGGAACCTAAGCCAGGCACGGTGGCGCATGCCTGTAATCCCAGAGGCTCGGGAGGCTGAGGCAGGAGGATGGAAAGTTCAAAGCCAGCCTCAGCAAAAGCGAGGCGCTAAGCAACTCAACAAAAGACCTTGTCTCTAAATAAAAATTTTAAAAAGGGCTGGGGATGTGGCTCAGTGGTCGAGTGCCCTGAGCTCAAGCCCCTGTACTAAAAAAAAAAAAAAAAAAAAAAAAAAAACTGGAACCTAATCAGAGCCCTTTGAGTGCCCCGCCCCCACCCCAAGGTACGTGGGCAGCCAGGGGCGGCTGCTAAGAGTGAGGTGAGGACGCCGCCTCTGGCCCACAGCCAGGCGGGAGAGGGGGTCCTGACCCTCCCTCTCCCCGATCTGGGGGCGGGGCTCTGGACTCCCTGCACCCTATAAGCTCCCACTTCTCTCCGCTTCTTCCCCACTCAAGTCCAGCTCACCTCCGGGAACCAGCACCTCCAGGCGAGGTCCTTCCCTCCCTCACAGAGGAGGCTGAAGGAGGAGCCCCGGGTCCCCCTGGGTCCCCCTGGGTCCCCTGGGTCCCCTGGATCCTGTACTCGCGCCTCCACCATCCCCACCTCCATCCCCTTTCCCCTGCATGTCCAGCCCCCTCCAGGCCGGGAAGGGCATAAGTCCTGGGAGTGCGGGGACGCCCAGCCCTCACGACACCCACCCCCTCGCAGGCTTTGGGCATGAAAACACGTGGATCGGCCTGAACGACCGGATCGTGGAACGGGATTTCCAGTGGACCGACAACACGGGGCTGGTGAGTGGCGGTCCCTGTCCTCGGGCGGCTGAGCAGCGCGGGCGGTGCCCTCCGTTTACCCTCTTGGGCAAAGTGACTGCTAGTGTTCGTCCGAGGTCCCCAGGGACTCTAAGAAGCTGGCAATGGCGAAGCGGCTTCACCGAGACTTCTCCAGCCAGGATACGGCCCGCCCCCCAAGTTGCTGAAACTGCAAACCCGGGTCTCACTTCTCTTGGTCTCGCACCCTGGTCTGCTAGCGGTTGTCACTCAAAAAGTACCTTTTATCCACATCCCTCTCCCTTGGAAATTTTGAAAAATTTCTAACCTGGATCCCTGCAGCGGTCTCCGTAGCCATTTGCTACCTGCCCCTCCCCGCAGTCTGGAAAACAAACTTTTTTGTTTTGGATTTTTGTTTTAAGACGGGTCTCATTATATTGCCCAGACTGGTCTGGAATTCCTGGGCTCAGGTGATCCCCTCGGCCTCCTGAGTAGCTGGGACCCAGGTGAAGCAAGCATATCTGGCTGCAGCCTTTAAAAAAAAAAATTGAGGTGAAATTTATAAACCAAAGAACTAGGGGGCTGGGGTTGTAGCTCAGTGGTAGAGCACTTGCTTAGCATGTGTAAGGCACTGGGTTCAATTCTCAGCACTGCATATGAATAAATAAAATAAAGGCCATTAACAACTAAAAAATTTTTTTAAACTAATCATGTTAAAGTGGCATTTTAGTAACATTCATAATATCATAACCACCACTTCCATCTAGTTCCAGAACATATTCATCACCCTAGAAGGAAACCCCCGCACACAGGAACCTTTAAAGAATCACACTTCAGGGATGGGGGTGTGGCTCAGCGGTAGATTACTTGCTTAGCCAGCATAAGGTCCTGGGTTCCATCCCCAGCAATGCAAAGATAAAAACAATTGAAAGACAGATGTTCAAATACACACTGGTACCTGAACGTGTTCACCGTGTCCCTCATCACAGCAGCCAACAAGTGAGAACAGCTCAAATGTCTATCAACCAATGAATGGATAAATAAAATGGGGTCCATCCATATAATGGAATAGTATTCAACTATAAAGAAGAATAAACTCCTGATGCGTACTATAACATGATTGAACCTGAAAAACTTCAGAGAAGCTGGGCACAGGTGCACAGGAGAATTTTAAGTTCAAGGCCAGTCTCAGCAACTTCACAAGACCCTCAGCAACTTAGGGAGGCCCTGTCTCAAAAAGGGCTGGGGGTGTAACTCAGTGGTAAAGTGCCCCTGGGTTCAATATATATATACACACACACACACACACACACACTTACTTATTTCACTTACTTATTACATATATATATATAATAAGTAAGTGAAATAAGCCTGATATAAAAGGCCACGTATTGCATGATTCCCTTTAGGTGACATCCAGAGGAGGTAAAGTTATAGAGACAAAAAGTAGGTTCATGTTTGCCAGCAGCTAGGGGCAAGGGAAATGTTTTTCCTTAACTGGTGCAGAATTTTGCTTTGTTGTGATTAAAAAGGTCTGGTAATAGATGGTGGTGATAGTTACACAAAATTGTGAATGTAATTAATGCCAATGAACTTAAAAAGTAAGAGTGTTTAGAATGGTAAGTTTTATATATAGATTGTGGTTTTTCTTAAAAAGTCCACCTCCTCCCTACTACCATTCTCTGGCCAGAGCCTAACTCCAGCATGCAGCCCCACCCCCACCCCCTGCCTCTGAGCCTTTGCAGTTGTTGTTCCCTTTGTTTGGGACACCCTTCACCGTTTGGAGTCTTTGCATCTTTGAGTCTTCACTTTTCCTGTTGCCTCCTCAAAATCCCTCCTGGATTTCCAGGCTGAGGTCATCTTTTGTTCAGCTACTTAGCTAACCGTGACTCATGGAGAAAGCAAGGGAAGGGGCCAGTGAACAAGAGGCCGGAAGATCAGAGTGGGAGACGCTGCAGGCTTTCAGCAGAGGGATGTGGCTCAGGTCACAGTGACAGCCACCCTCTCAATAGGCAGGGGAAGGCCCATTGTAGAGGTGAGACCATTGAGTCCCTTCAAGTCTGAGGAGTCTGGCCAAGGGAATCTTTCAGGAGCCTGAGCTGGGACACAGGACCCTGAACGATTCCCTGCTCCCTCTTCCTGAAGCAATATGAGAACTGGCGTGAGAATCAGCCCGACAACTTCTTCGCGGGTGGCGAGGACTGTGTGGTGATGGTGGCGCATGAGAGTGGTCGCTGGAATGACGTTCCCTGCAACTATAACCTCCCTTATGTCTGCAAGAAAGGCACAGGTACCTGGCACCTCGCCCCCTCTTCCTTCCACCCACGTGCTCATTGGTTTATTGTTTTATTCAAGTTAGTGAATGTCAGCCCCCCCCCTGCCCTTCTCAGGAGCCAGCAGTGAGAGGAGTCCTGTTTCCTCCCATCTTCACTGATTCTGCCCATTTTCAAATGTTTTGTTCTTTATTCACCAAAGTGGTAAAACATAGTGTCTCATTGTTATCTCAGTTTGCATGTCTTTTTTGGGGGGGGGGCACTGGGGATGGAACCCAGGGCCTCCTGCTTGCTAAGCACATGTTCTACACTGAGCTAGGACCCTAGCCCCTTGCGCATCTTTAAGGATGAGAATTACCCACTGTTTGCATGTTGACAAGTTATTTCTGTGTGTTTTTTTCCCTGTCAAATGCCAGTTCATCTCCTTTGCTTAATTTTCTGTTGCTTGTTGGTTTCCTTGATTTTTTTTTCACTTTTTTCCTTTTCTCTTCACTGCTGGGGATTGAATCCAGGATCTCATGCATCCTACACAAGCACTCTACCACTGAGCTGTATCCATAGCCCAGTTTTATTGATTTTTAAGAACATTAAAATTTTTTTAATTGTACACAATGTTTAAACTAACAAAAAAATGTCTTTTTAGTTGGACACAATGCCTTTATTTTATTTATTTTTATGTGGTGCTGAGGATCGAACCCAGTGCCTCACCCGAGCTAGATGAGCACTCTACCACTGAGTCACGACCCCAGCCCCAGTTTTTAAGAACTCTTTACACATGTAGGAAATCATTTGCACACATTCTTCTCTTTTCTTTTCTCTTATATTTTTGTTTCTTCTTGCTTTCATTTCTTTGCCAGTTTTCATGTCCTTTTTCCTCTTTCATTTGCTCAGATAATTATTCTTTTTTTTTTTTTTCTTCCAGTACTGGGTGTTAAACCCAGGAACTCATGTGTGCTAGGCCAACTGAGCAGTACAGCACCAAATAAATCTTTTATTTTTTTGTATAAGGGATTGAACCCAGGGGCACTTCACTGCTGAGCTACATCCCCCAGTCCTTTAAAAAAATTTATATATATATATATATATATTTTTTTTTTAGTTGTTCAAGACCTTTTTATTTTATTTATTTATACGCGGTGCTGAGAATCAAACCCAGTGCCTCACACATGCCAGGCAAGTGCGCTACCACTGAGCCACAGCACCAGTTCCCCCTCTTTTTAAAAATATTCTGTTTTACTTGTAGTTGGACACAATACCTTTATTTTATTTGTATGTGGTGCTGAGGATCGAATCCAGCACCCCACATGTGTTAATCGAACACTCTACCGATGAGCCACCACCCCAGCCCCTGCTTTTTAAAAAATCTTTATTTATTTACTTATTTATTTTTATATGGTGCTGAGGCTGGAACCCAGTGCCTCCTGGCACGTGCTAGGCGAGCACTCTACCGCCACAATACCCCCCCCCTCCCCGCCCTTGTTTATTTTTTATTTTGAGACAGAGTCTCACTAAGTTGCTTAGGGCCTCACTAAGTTGCTGAGGCTGGCTTTGAACTTGCAATCCTCCTGCCTCAGGCTTCCAAGCTGCTAGGATCACAGGCATGTGCCCGCATGCCTGGTTTCAGATAATTATTCTGTCTTCCTCTCTTTCATGACTGTCATGCTCTGTCCTTGGCATCAGAATGGGAGCAGGGTTCATCATGAACTCCCCTAAGGAGCTCCTGGTGGGGTGGAAGAGACAGAGACAGGCATGGCACCTTCTAGCCCTGTGAGATCACAGCTGTTGACCCACTGAGGGGAATATTAATCCCAACAACACATAAAACTAGGTTAGCCCCAGTCTTGGCCACTTCCCTAACTGGAGGTTCCTCTGTTCCCAGTGCTGTGCGGTCCCCCTCCAGCAGTGGAAAATGCCTCGCTTGTGGGTGCCCGCAAGGCCAAGTACAATGTCCATGCCATTGTACGCTATCAGTGTGATGAAGGATTTGCCCAGCACCATGTGGCTACCATCCGGTGTCGGAGCAATGGCAAGTGGGACCGGCCCCAGATTGTCTGCACCAAACGTAAGTAGCTGCCTCCAGAGACCACCCCCCCACATGGATTTACAACTGTTTGTGTTGTCGGATTAAAACATCCCATTATTACCCACACTGATCTGGTGAAATGTCTGCCTGGTAATACAGCTTTGCCGATAAGTGGGAATTTACCAGCCCACCTAACGTGTCCTCCATCTGGGAGACCCACTGCCTCCAGCCACCCTGCTGTCATCAGCTTTTGCTCTTTTCCATTTCTGTTTCACTCTCTTGCAGCCAGACGGTCACATCGGATGCGGAGGCACCATCACCACCACCAGCATCACCACCAGCATCACCACCACAAATCACGCAAGGAGCGCAGAAAACACAAGAAACACCCAGCAGAGGACTGGGAAAAGGATGAAGGGAATTTCTGCTGAAGAACCAGGCAAAAGAAAGCACAGCCCCCTTTCCCACACCTGCTCTGGAGCTTCACCTGGGGAGACAGAGCCCAGAGAGAAACAAGAGGGTCTGGAAGTCCCTGAGCCCCAAGCCACACCCCCCACACATTATCCTTTGTAAAAAGCTCCTCTCTCCTCTTTCGTACATACACAAGGTCCTCTTGGCAGGTGTAGCCATGTGTCTGAAGAGTCCATTTTTGTCAGACTGAAATCTGGGAGCATCTCCCAGCTGAGGGAAGTGTAATCGGCAAAGATCATTCTTTGCCTTGGTTCAGTCTTTTGTTTGTTGGGCTGATTGCCAGTTGTTGAAATAAGGCTTTGATGAGAGTGCAAGAATGTATGTTTGGATTCGAGCTCAAGGATTGCTTTTCACACCAGAGATTCAGGCTTAGTAAATGGTTGGTTGTCCTAAATCCAGGGTGAAGCCTTTGCTTAAGGTCACCAGCTTTAGGAGTAGAAGGCTAAACAGAAGCACACTGCTTGAACTTGATGACTGTTCTTCCTTCACCTTGGACTTCAGCCCAAGTTCGGTCTTTGGTGTTGGTGTGTAAACATAGTGTGGAATTCCCATGTATTGAATTTTAAAAGTATTTTTAGAAAAACTACCCTCCATGCCCTCAGAGTTTTGTGGGAGGATATTCACAGCAATATGTAGAGCCAGAGGGAAAGTGTATTGCTTACCCTCCCAGGTCTAGTCCAGGGCTGAGATTTGGTGGTTTTGCATGTGTGATGAATCTCTCTCTCACACACACAAATGAGAGGATGTTTAGGGCTAGATAAGCCCGGATTTCTTCCACCTCCATCTCTCAGGGAGACAAAGAACCTCCTTCCTGGACCAGGAAGGTGCCAAGTTTTCTAACCCAGTGCCCACAAATACCCTTCCCTCAAGCAGACATTGGTAGTATCCCTTCCCTGGATCCCAACCCTCCCGACCTCTTCCCCATATCTGTCCATTGCCTGGTGGAATAGAAATGTTTAAAACTTGAAGTATTAACACCTACCTACAGTCATATTGTAGAGAGATGCACGGTGTTAAGACCGAAACACACATACACACACAAACACACACATACTCACATTTTTCTCTCATAGTTTTAATTTTTTTTGTAAGTGGGAAAGAACTCACCTAGCCTTCTGGCCTCAAATCCATAACCTCTTAAAGGCCTCACCAAGCCAGATGCAAGACCCAGCTCCCTGATCTCTGGCAGGAAAGATTGCAACTTTTCTCCACGTCCATTGTCCACTTCAGTTCCTTCAGTCTGGATAAAAATCTGCAGATTAGTGTATTGGAAAAGGGCCTTGTTCAAGAAAGAAATATAAGCAAATGCATCGTCTACGTAGGGGCTCAGTAGAAATAAAATGTGTTAACTGAGCCTATATCCCTCCTGGGAAGTAATAAGCAGAGTTGACAGCTGTGGAAGAGCAACCATGCTAAGGACTTACACACTATCTTGACTCTTCTCAACAGCTCAGTGACTTAGAAACCATTATTTTCTCATTTTATGTGACAAAACTGAGGTTCTTATATACAAGGGAAAGGCACACAATTGAAGTCATGGCCAAGACCAAAAGAATGGTTTAGCCTGCTTCTGTCTGACTTCAAATACTGCTCTCTACTTTGGGGAAAGACAGTGAAAACATTCTCTGTCTCTCTGTCTCTGAACTGGGGATTGAACTCAGGGGCACTTAACCACTGAGCCAGCCCTTTTTTAATATTTTATTTAGAGACAAGGTCTCACTGAGTTGCTTAGGGCCTCATTAAGTTGCTGAGGCTGGCTTTGAACTCATGAACCTCCTGCCTCAGCCTCCTGAGCCACTGGGATTACAGGTGTGCATCACCACACTTGGCTGTCTCTCTGTTATACACACACACACACACATACACACACTCAGATTTAAGAAATGGTTGAGAAGTACAATTTGGACCTTACCCTTGACCACAGTCTAACCTTCTCTGCTACAGACATTAGTCACTGTTCCCTCTTAACGTTATTGTTGAGAAAGCTCTAGTTTGTCTTCTTACTTTAATAACACTTCTTGTTTTAAAAAAGATAATAATAATAATAACAACACATCTTCAGCCACCCACATCACAACAGAATTATCCTACGTTTGGGGAGACTGGGGATGCAACTTCTTGGGGGTCTCGTTGGTGCTCCCTACCCTTGGGCCTCTTTGCCCTCTGCACCCCCAGCTCCATGGTGGAAGGGGGCTCTGGTCTTTTCTAAAGTGGGAGGTTTGTCTTTTGCTCTTTCCCTTTGGGATGTGCGTGTGTGTTTGCGTGTGCCACATGCGTGGCATACGTGTGAATGTGTGTGCGTGTGACTAGCTTTGGTTCTGCTGGTTTTGCTGTGAGCTACAGTGTTCTGTGGGTCTGTGATATCTGACACTGTGGACATTAATGTACTTCTTGGACATTTTAATAAAAGTTTTTTAACAGTTCAGCCTGCCTTTCATCTCCTGACACTTTAATTGATTCATTCACTCAGCATGTGTTTGCTGAGCAGCTATTATGAGCCATGTACTGTGCTAGGTACTGGGGAGATAGTGCTAAATAGGAGAGATATGATCCCTGGGTGAGTATCGGGGAATGCTTCCTAGAGGAAATAGACGGAATCTAAAGGAAGAGTAGCATTAATTAGTCCAGGAGGGGAGAAAAAGAAGAGAATTTCATCAGAGGGAAGAACAAAGACAAAAGTCCCTTTTAAAAAATATTCATAGGGGCTAGGGATATGGCTCAAGTGGTAGAGCACTTTCCTAGCATGCATAAGGCACTGGGTTCGATCCTCAGCACCACATAAAAAAAATAAAATAAAGGTATTGGGTCCA